TGCTGGATAGCAACCCTCTGCAAAGCCCGCCTGCCCAGGTGAGAGGTGGGCCTGGGGTGGACGTTGGGTGCAGGGCTGAGATCGGGCAGGACTGGGCGGTGGGCCCCTTTGATACCCAAGCAGGATCTTGGGTGCCCCCTCTCTTACTCCTAACTCCTGTCATGCTCCTCTTTACACTTAGATCTGCCTGAAGGGGAAACTTCACATCTTCAAGTACTTGTCAACAGAGGCTGGGCGACGTGGGGGTGCTGCGCTGGGGGACCTGGCCCCTTCCCGCCCCGCAAGTTTTAGCCCCTGGTAAAGAAGGGCATGGGAGGGAAGGAAGCTCCTGGATCCCTAATGCTACTTCCTGGCACCAGAGTCCCCATGGTTTTCAGAGGGAGGGTGGGGGGTTGCTCCCCAATATAGGACTGACCAGCTCTCCCTGGCCGGCCCCAGCCCAGCTGAGGACTTATTTCCGGGACGTCGGTACGATGGCGGACTGGACTCAGGCTTCCACAGTGTTGACAGTGGCAGTAAGAGGTGGTCTGGAAACGAGGTAAGTGCCTCCTTTCCAAGGGATATTGGCGATCTCAGCCCTGGGGGAGAACCTCTAAGAAGGGGCCCTTGGCCTTTTGACCTCTAAATCTCAGAGTGACAGATGGCCGGGGCTGTCTTCTTCCTTCGCTCATCCAAGCATCTTGGGGAAGGGCTGGCTCAGCAGCAGACCCCGAGGCCCTGAACCCTTGAGCCCCCAGCACTACAGAGAAGCCATCTTCCAACCTCTGCATTTCTGCATTTACAGTCAACAGATGAGTTTTCGGAGTTGTCATTCCGGATCTCAGAGCTGGCCCGGGAGCCTCGGGGGTCCAGGGAGCGGAAGGAGGATGTCTGTGGTGAGTGGTGGGGTCAGGGGGCCTGGGGCTGAGAGGGATGGACAAGCCTGAAGGCACCCATCTGCTTGCTGACGTGTCCTGCCTCACCAGCTGATGGGGACCCTGAGCAGATTGACTTCATTGACAGCCACGTGCCTGGGGAGGATGAAGAGCGAGGTGCTGCCAAGGTGAGGGGCCAGCCCTTGTCTGTATGTCCATCTGCTGTGAGAGGAGAGCTGGAGGGAGGGACAGACGCAGGCTTGGAGACCATCATTCCCTCAGCTCCTCTGCTGTTCTTTCCTCAGGAGCAGCGGCCACCAGAATTAAGCGCTGTGGCGGGGGACGGGGAGAAGGCACCAAGCAGCAGGTACCAGAGGCACCTGAGCCAGCACTTCCCCCCTTTACTCCATCTCCCCGCACCCTCTCTCCTCTTTCCTGACCTGCCCTACCCCTTGCATCCTGCCTTTGCCCCTCAGGAGGGAAGAGCTGGCTGGGGAGGAGCGGCGGCGCCCAGACACCTTGCAGCTGTGGCAGGAGCGTGAGCGGCGGCAGCAGCAGCAGCAGCAGCAGCAGCAGCAACAGAGTGGATTGTGGGGGGTCCCCAAGAAGGACAGGTGTGGGCACAGGAGCTATGACTGGGTGGTGGGCCCTGAAAGTGAGTGGAAATGAGCCCTCCTGAGCTACTGTGCCTCTTGGGGTTGGCAGCCCCCTGCCTGACTTTGCTGGCCCCACATCTCCTTTGCTTTCTAGTTTTCTGAAGCTGGGGGTCAGGGCTGCTGGTGGAGGTGCTGCTGCCTCATCCACTCAGGCCACCTACAAGTATGTGTCCTACCACATCCCACCTCCCTGAGCCTCTCCCTGCGCTCCTTCCCCCGACCGTCCCCGCTAACCCCTTTCCTGTGTCTCCTCAGCGGCATGCCCAAGTCCAGTGCTACCCAACTGGGAGCTTCAGCAGGACAGGGAGCTCCTCCCTCTGTCTCAGCCCCCGCCTCCCAGGAGCCCCTTCCTATAACTGGACCAGGTGGGACAGAGGCTTTGGGAAGCAGATGGGGGCTTGTGTATGTGAGGGGGGCCTGAGGGAAGAGTGGGACACTGAGGGGATATCCTCTCACCTGCTCCCGTCCCCTGTCTCTGGCCCCCAGTGGCAGCGCCTGCTCCCCGGCCACTTGGCTCCATCCAGAAACCAAACAGCTTCCTTTTCCGATCTTCCTCTCAGAGTGGTTCAGGTGGGTCTCCCCTCCCCGGCACTAACCCAGGGCTAACCCAGCACTAACCCCTGGACTGCAGTCATCCCTTCTGGCCTGGCAATTCTCTGGTCAATTGTCCCTTTATGTTGAAAATCCCATAAGCACAGAGATGGGAGATCTCTGTGCATAAGCACAGAGATGGGTGGGTGCCAGACACTGCAGCCCAGCTACAAAGTCAACGGTTGGTAGTGGAAACAGCTCACACAACCTTCTTTTCTCCAGGTCCTTCCTCACCAGACTCTGGCTTGAGACCTCGGCGATTGCCCCAGCTTCTGGATGAGAAGGAACTGACGGCTCAATTGCGCCAGGTAAGAGAGCTGGGATCTGGGTGGGTGGGGCCTGGACTCAGCGTGGTACCTCCTGGAGTTCCCTGGCCTCCCTCAGGATCCTCTCGTACTTTCTGCTGCTGTGGCAGAGGATGGAAGAGGCAGGCTGGCGTTGTCTGCTGACTCAGACGTTTCCACCTCCCTCCTCCCCCTCTTCGTTACCTCCCTTGCAGGTCCTTGAGTCACAGCTGCAGCGGCCCCTGCCTGAGGACCTGGCAGAGGCCCTGGCCAATGGTGTCATCCTCTGTCAGCTGGCCAACCAACTGAGGCCCCGCTCCGTGCCCTTCATTCATGTGCCCTCGCCTGCTGTGGTTAGTTGGGGCCCCAGGTGGGAAGTAGGGAATGGGACAGGGGACTCCCATGGCCCCTCCCTTAATCTCTTCTTTTTTTTCTTTCTTACACATTCCCAGCCAAAACTCAGTGCCCTCAAGTCTCGGAAGAATGTGGAGAGCTTCTTAGAAGCCTGTCGAAAAATGGGGGTGCCTGAGGTACGGGGGCGGTGTTCTCAGGAGCCTGGGGCTGGTCTCTTCTATAAAGAGTGGTGGCATCCTGGGCTTAGTTGAACCCTTTGCTTGGATGGCAGGGTTCCGTTCACAGCGGGTATCTGCTCCCCAGAAGGAAGCCCCCGTCCGCCCGCATGCCTCCCTTCCCCGCATGGCTCTCTTCCCTGCACTCTGCATGTTGGCGTGGCTCTGGCCCTGGCATGTGAGGGCAGGGGGTGGAAAGGATTGTCTTGCTGCTGCTGCTGACATCTGCCTTTGTCCTTGTCCATCTGTCCTACTCTCCCTTTCCAGGCTGACCTGTGCTCGCCCTCGGATCTTCTCCAGGGCACCGTCCGGGGGCTGTGGACCACCCTGGAGGCCATGAAGCGGGTGGGGGGCAGGGCACCCCCACCTCTCTGGCCTCCCTCTGGTCTGAGTGGCTTCATCCTCTTCTACGTGGTCCTCATGCTGCTGCTCTATGTCGTCTACACTCGGCTCCTGGGTTCCTAGGACCTGATGTCACCCCTCCCCCACCACCTCGCCCTCTTTCTATTTATAAGACTCCTGTACAACCCCATGCCCACCGGTGGTGCCTTCAGCCCCTACCAAAGACACTAGTAAACCCCTGTCCTCTCACAAACACTGACCTCAGAGGCCCCACTCTGGTTCCCCCAGACCCTGGGTCCCCAGCCTCTGGCTATCCTCCTGTAGCCCTTCCCCTCTCAGAGCTGATGGTGACTTCATGCCCTCTCCCACCTAGCCCTGCTCTCTGCTCCCCGAGAGGGGCTGAACCTTAACCTTCCAATCTTCACTGTCCACCCCCACCCCAGATATAGGGGGCTAAATTATCTATATTTTGTAGAGAGAACTCTATATTTGTAGGAGATGCAGGACCCAGGCTGGGTCCCTGTTTCTTGTATAAATGTACAGACCGTGGCTGCCTGTGTGTGTGTGTGTGTTTGCGCCTGCTCCTGCCGCGGCCAGGCCCAGCCCTGGCAGTGCTCATGGGGCTCTGTGTGCCATCCTGCCTACTCCAGCATTTCCCTCCGGAAATGGCAGGTCTTCCCTCCTCCCTGAGCCTTGGCCCCTGTGTCATCTTTGTTCTGTTATCTAATGGCAGCTTCCTTGCATCTCATTTGTTCCCAAGCCATGTCCAGGGTGCCCCTGACCTTCGCCTCCTACTTTTTGGAGGGTCATCCTGTCAGCTCCCTTTGACCAGGCTCCTTTAGGGTGTTTCCCACCCTGCCCCCTGCCAAGGGCTGGGAAGCCCAGAGGTGAAGATGTAAAGGGGGACTTAATCTGGGCCCCTCCCCACCAGGAGTCCCTGTGCCAGCCCCATCACATCCTGGAAGAGGAGGGGGCCCCCGGAAGGGGCCTCCCCTACATCGCTGCTGTCGTCCACGCACTGCTGGAACAGTCTTAGGGGTTGAGGTAGGGCCACTGCCCGGCTGGGATCCAGGAACAGAAGACGGACACGCCTGGGCTCTGCTCTCTAGCAAGGACTGGTGAGGGGCAGCCTTGAGCCTGCCCCTGTTACTCAGGCACCTCTTACCCAAGGGGCCGGAAACAGGCCTGCCCAGCAAGACACCTGGAATCCTCTGGGTGTAGCTGAGGATATGGGATGAAGATGAGGCATGGAGTGTTGTGTCAAGTGCAATAAAGAAGCCAGAAGTTCTCTAAGTTGCCACTTGCGTGCGTGCGTGTGTGGGGCGGGGGGGGAGTGTGAACGAAAGCAGTGAAAGCAATGCATTGCCGGAAAGGGATTGCCTTCCTGTCCGCAGCTGGGTTCCCATGTGATCTTCACTCAGCACCACTCTTTCACATGGTGCTGAAGGCAGGTGGGGCTGCGCCGACCCTGCCGACAGGGGGCGTCCGAGGGACCCCCATCAGGAACAAGCCACGTGGCCCGGAAATGCGCCGGGCGTGGGCGTCATTGCGAGGCCTTGCGAGGTGGGCAGGCAACCTGTGCTCCTCTGGACCCGCAGGATAGTGCCCAACACTGAGGGAGGCTGGGACCAAGTAGGGGCCGGCTGGGGACCAGGGAGGGACGACGCAGGTGGGGCGGGAGGCTTGGGCAGCACGCGGCACAGGTGTGTGCCTGCCCTTCCCTCCTCCAAGACGCGGCATGTTGCCCTGGCCCTCTCCTCGGTGGGACAAGGGTAAGGAGCAGGTGCCTGAGGAACAGGGCTCCTCACTGTGCAGTGACCCCGGCAAAGATTGGAACTCTGGAGAGGAAGCCCTGGGGGAGCCAGGTACACCCCCGCAGGACAGGTGAGAGGCATACTGGAGACGCTGGGGGGAAATCCCACAAAGGGGGTCCCACAGTGTGAGGGAATCTCAGTGATCCTCACTGAACAATGGGTATGTTCAGTCTCCGCCCACCAGGCACGTTTGGACTTGCCATAGAAGTATTCAGACTTGGAGGGGAAAAGTGGGGAGGCAATGGCTGGGTCATCTCAGTAGCTCCCCATTTTTTCCCTCCCAGCCCTCAGTCCTGGTCCCTAAGGCGCTCCTGGACTCAGAGAGAAGGGCTGCTGGCCCCGCTCCCCTCAGGTGTGGTGGCTGGGCAGTCCCTAGGAACCCCAGGTAGGTACTAGGCTTTGCCACCTCTACCCCTCAGTACCCTTTCACTGACTCGAGCCTGTTCTAACTTCTTCCTATCCACCCCCCACTGTCCCCCTAGTTTCCCTTTCCCCTCAGATGGCCTGGGAGGTGGCACCCTCAAGGATGACCCGGCTGGCACCATGGGACCCCAACTACGAGGCCAAAGTAGAACCACAGCTGGTGTGGGTGAGTAGGATGTATCTATGGCGCCAGCCACCGAGTGAGGCGAGGATGCTCTGGGAGAAGGCTGAAGAGGGATCCTTCCTGACCCTCTGCAGGGGTCCAGCTGTGCGTCCGGTGCCTCCTTCTCAGGACGGACTTTGTGTCACCCCTCCTTTTTGCCACTGTATGAAGCAGCCTTAGGCAGGGGCTGCAGGCCCCGGGCCACAACAGGTCATCAGAATGGTGAGCAGGTGCCCAGGGATGCAGGTAAGTTCCCCTGGTCCCCTCAGGCTCAGGACTGATGCTCTGTGGACTCCTCAGGGAACTGGTGCAGAGCACCCTGGGATGGGAAACCTACCCACCTGTCACTCTAGCAGCTTCTTCTCCCCAGGGTTCCCAGTGATGTGCTGTGGAGATGTTTTTCTTTCAGACCCTCTGCTGCCTCGTGGGCAGCGTGTTCCCCTGTTCCTGTCTGAGGCCTCTCAGCAGGTGAGCACTCTTCCTGTCCTGGCCTCATCTCAGCCTTCCTGCAAGGCTTGCGAGGAGATACTTCCCCTTCTTCTCTCCTCAGGTAATAGGCTCTCTGAAGCTGCAGCTGCCACCCCCTATTATGTCCCCCTGGGTCTACCCCACCCGGTCCCCTGGCCGCTCCACCGCCTGGCTCAGTGGGCCTGAGCTGATCGCCCTCACTGGCCTCCTGCAGATGAGCCAGGAGGAGCCAAGACCTAGTTCCACGGGTTCCTCTGCAGCTCCTACATCCCCCGCTGGCCCCCCAGACCCTGTCTATGATCATCCAGGCCCCACTGGTGACCGGAGCTGTTCTCACTGCACTGACCCATCTCCCCCACAAACCCCAGACACTCATTGCCCATAGCACCTCTTGGGACACAGTGGGCCTCCTACTCTCCCAGGCAGTTCTGTTGACAATAAAACAGTATTGGTTTGCAAGCAGGCTCCTTGTGGTGGATAGCAGAATGGGGCACCCAGGCAGGGATGGGATCTCTTCTTCCATGGCATCTTCAGCTGCCCTCCCCTCAAATTCTTGTTACTAATTGGTCGTCCCCTACAGTGGGGTGGGGGAATACATGGGTCTGAGGCCTTTTCAGGCTGACCAAGAAAGGCACTTTTAATGAGGGCGTCTACAGTACAGTTCCCCAGACTGAGTATATACGAAGCAAGGACTCCATCAGCTCTGCCAGGCCTGGGAGAAGGGAGGATTGTGTGAGCATGTGGTTGGCATTGGGAGAGGCAAACTAGGGAGTAAGGGGGTGGTACGTCATTTTGGGGTACACCAGAGGTATGATACCTGGTGCTTTCATGCTTCTTGTGCTGGGTCCCAGAAGTTCAGCCTTGGAGCTGGGGGTTAGTTCTTTGGCTTGTTGGAGACACAGTCAGGTACTGCAGGTGTGTGTAGGGTGGCAGGGCCAGGTCCTTGTGGGAGTCCTCCTCAGAGGCTGACCTCAGACTCTGGACTGATGCTGCGTAATTGTGCAGGGAAAAGGAGAGGATTGGAGCTTTGGCCGAGAAAGCCCAGGAGTTTCTAGGATTTGGGGGGAGAGAATGGTTCTACAATTTTCTCTCTTAAAAGAATCCAACTTCTTGGGGAAGCTCCTCCTGAATTTTCCCACAGCTGGAAGGAGCAGAGTGAGCAGCTGACCCTAAGGGGCAGCTTAGCACCTCTGTAGTTCACTTGTCCTAGGGGGTGCCTGGGCCTTAGAACTCTTCAGTTGTGGGAACAGGTGGGAAGGCATTTCTAACTTTGCCATTTTCTCTCCACTTCACCATCCTTCTGTCAGCTGGACTGGGTGGGCTCTCACCCTTGCCTCCCCTAGGTTCTGAAACTTGATTCAGGGGTAGCTGTGGGGCAGTGCATGCTGGTCCTGGGGGCATTACCTTCTGCCTCTGGAGGAGGGACCAGGTCCAGGTCAATGTAGTTGAGGTGGCCATCTGGGGTGTCTGGGATGAGTTTCTAAGTAGTCCCGGACCGCATATACTCCCTGGCTAGCTGGGACAGTGTCTGCAAGGAGGGCTGATTCCATGCTGATCTCCAGCTCTCCCCAGTGCCTAATGAGGGTGGGCCTTGGAGCCCATGTCCAGGCTCCCTGGCCCCTGGCTTGTAAGCCTGGGGCAGGGAGCTCGAAGAAGGGGACCTTGGTGGGATAACAGTTCATGGGCACATACTCAGTGTGTTCCCAGGTCTGGAGCAGCTGGTGGGGAAGAGCATTGGCGGCTGCAGAACGTGGGGGTGGGGGAGGGGAGGAGGTAGGAGAGGGTGAGCCACTACCCAGTAGCCACTTGCTTCCCCCCTTACATGGGTTTGTAGTCACCCCCACCTCCCCTGGGTATGTGGCTCCCTCCCAGCTCTAACTTCTTGGGGAAAGAGGCTGCCACTCCCAGCATCCCAGGATCTGGAGAGTTGCTTGCTTCTCTCACCCAGGCACTCCCCACACCTCAGGCCTCTTGAATGGGCTGTGAAGGTTGGGGTCTCATGAGGTTGGGGGACAGCAGGTCTGGAGATGCTCTGTCAGGGGATTCCTTTGCAGTAGCTCAGCCCTGCCACGGGCACCACCATCCCCAAGTCCCTTCATGGCAGCTAGGATAGTCTTGTGAATGCTTTGGGCCACCACTGGCATCCAGTGCCTCTAGCCACAGCTCTTCAGGACCCGTGGGTACCCAGGCAGCCAAACTCTGGGAAGGTTTCTGCATGGCTGCAGCAGGGCACACTGAGCAAGCTACAAGAGCAGGGCCAGTGGTGGTGGTGGTACCAGGGTGTCCCTGGAACCTCTGTCCCTCAGCTTCCAAAGCAGGCTCAGTATCCTGAACCCAGGAAAAGGGCAGTAGCCACTGCAGCTCCTTGGGCCACAGCGTCACAGGTCAGACATCCTGACCTGTGAAATGGAGTGAAGATTCAGGTTCCAGAGTTCTCAAGGGAACTGGGACCATGGAGGACAATTGATGGTCACAGGAGGCTCCTGGGCAAGGAGGTTGGAGTCACTGTGTTCCGAGAACTGGTTAAGTGTAAACACTTAGTGTTTGAACTTGATATGGTGACCTAGGGGAGGGACAGGCTACAGATAGACCAAATCCATGCCCATCCAACCCTGGCCCGCAGACCCTCTCCACCCACTCCAGACTTGGGCCTCCTACACCTCCAGCAGGGCGCTGTACCATGCCTGCCTCCCCACCTCACTGGTCTCCAGGGACCAGGATGCCATCAGGTGTGTAGAGGATAATCAGGTGGTGTTGGTGTGTGTCCATGTGCTTGCCAATGGTGCACATGCCTGATCACACTGACGTTGAGCAAGGCCCCACCCCTGAGAAACTTCTCGTTCTTTTTATTTTAATATCTATTTTATTCATTATGCTATAACAGTTGTCCCATGTTTTTCCCCTTCATCCCCCACCACCCTATACCACCCCTTCCCCAGAATTTCTCCCCTCCCCTTAGTTCATGTCCATGGGTCGTACATATAAGTTCTTTGGCTTCTCCATTTCCTATACTATTCTTAACCTCCCCCTGCCTATTTTGTACCTACTATTTAGGCTGCTTACTCCCTGTACTTTTCCCCCCATTCTTCCTCCTCCCCCTCCACTCTGATCTCCATTTCTATGATTCTGTTCCTGTTCTACATGTTTGCTCAGCTTTTTGTGTTTTTTTTAGGTTCAGTTGTTGTTGTCATTTTACTGTTCATAGTTTTTTATCTTTTTCTTAGATAAGTCCCTTTAACATTTTCTGTAATAAGGGCTTGGTGATGATGAACTCTTTTCACTTGACTTTCTCTGGGAAGCACTTTATCTGCCCTTCCGTTATAAATGATAGCTTTGCTGGATAGAGGAATCTTGGATGTAGCTCCTTGTCTTTCATGACTTTGAGTACTTCTTGCCAGCTCCTTTTTGCCTCTAAGGTTTCTTTTGAGAAATTGTCTGAGAGTCTTAAGGGAACTCCTTTGTAGGTAACTGTCTCTTGCTGCTTTTAAGATTCTCTCCTTATCGTTAATCTTGGGTAATATAATTATGATGTGCCTTGGTGTGTGCTTCCTTGGGTTCAACTTCTTTGGGACTTTCTGAGCTTCCTGGATCTCCTGGAAGTCTATATCCTTTGCCAGGTTGGGGAAGTTCTCCTTCATTATTTTTTCAAGTAAGTTTTCAATTCCTTGCTCTTCCTCTTCTCCTTCGGGCTCCCCTATGGTTCAGATGTTGGAGTGTTTAAAGTTGTCCCAGAGGTTCCTAAGCCTCTCCTCAGTTTTTTGAATTCTTGTTTCTTCATTTCATTCTGGTTGAATGTTTACCTCTTCCTTCTGCTCCCCATCATTGATTTGAGTCCCAGTTTCCTTCCCTTTACTGTTGGTTCTCTGCATATTTTTATTTCACTTTGTATAGCCTTCACTCTTCCCTCCATTTTGTGACCATACTCAACCAATTTAGTGAGCATCCAGATTACCAGTGTTTTGAACTGTGCATCTGATAGGTTGGCTCTCTGTTCATCACTTAGTTCTATTTTTGGAGCGTTGATCCATCCGTTCTTTCATTTAGGCCATATTTGTTTTGTCTTAGTGCACCTATTACTTTGGGAGGGGCAGAGCCTTAGGTATTCGCCGGGGCAGGGCAACCCAGGTCGCTGAGTTGTGATACTGTGTGTGGGGGAGGGCCTGAGAGGGAATAATACTGCTTGCTCAGCTCTTGGTGGGCTTTTAGTCACTTTCCCCCACTACCCACAAGCAAACTGGGCCCTTCCAGTGCAGAATCCCGGGTGGGTGGATGGGTTTGTGTACATTCTAGGACCCTGTGGGACTCTCCAACGGAGAGGCTGGGAGTTTCTCCTGCTGCTGCATCCCCCACAGGTTTTTACCTCCAGGGGTTTTGAGGCTTTCTTTTCCTGCACTGGAACCCTGGGTTGCGTGGTCTGTCTTGCTCCCCAGCTGTTCCTCATGGTTTATCCACATGCAAATGCGGGACCGCCTGGTCCTCTAGCTGCCACCTTGCTGTGTGTCCTCTCCACCCGGATGCCCATCTCCACCCCTCCTACTTGTCTGGATGAATGTTTCTTCTTTAGCTCCTTGGCTGTCAGACTTCCATACAACTTGATTTTCTGGCAGTTCTGGTTATTTTTTGTTTTTAAATTTGTTATTGTCCTTCTTTTGGTTGTGTGAGGAGGCAAAGTGTATTTACCTATGCCTCCATCTTGGCCAGAAGTCCTCTTTCCCTCTTCTCATTCTGATAACACTTGTGAAGCAACAGCGGCTCTGGCACTCTAGCTTTTGCAGGTGGCCGCATAACTGCTGTGGACCCCGGCCCATGTCTGCCAACTCATGGACTCTGGTGTCACTGTGGGGTCACTGCCTCCCTGATTCATTCCGGACCACAGGCAACAAAGTGGCCGGAGGAGGGGCTGAGATGGCTGGGGAAAGGACAGAAGCAGGATAAAGGTGGCTGCAACCACCTTGATGCCCAGCGTCTCTCTCCTGCTCCAGACTGCAGTGGCTCCTCTCTGCATGCAGCATGTGCCCAGTGGCTGCCAGATGACCAGGACACAACTGTCTTCAACAGCTTCTGAAGATCACTGGGCTCCCGTGCCTCCTCTCCCCACCCTCTCCACTAACAGCTCCAGACTACCCCCACCCGCACCTCTTGATGTTAATCCTTGCTTGCTTTGGTGCTGGAGACATGCCAGGTGGGAGAAGTGGAGTTTGAGGTGAGAAGTCTAGGATGGGCAGACTCCACCCCATCCACTCGGACTGGGCTTTGGCAGGGGAGAGGAGCAAGCTTGGGGGCATCTCCATTGATCTGAGCTGATTGTTGGGAGTGATTGTGTGAGACGAATGTGAATGGAACTGTGTCTGAAGTGACCCAGCCTGGCGACATCTGCACTCCTGGATCATGGGCAGCTGAGTTGCGCCACCCTCTTCCGACTCCTGCCACTCCCTGCTTGGGTTCTAGCCATCCAGTACCCTTCCTACTCAGGACTGGTTTTGTACTCTTCCTTCCCAAGTAATTCTAGGAGCCAGACCACTGAACATTGGGTTGTGCTGACTTCCAAGGACCTGGAGGTTGTTTCTCTGTGGTTTTGGGGTGATAGGAGGTGTCTTGAAATAAGTAAACTTGTGGATTGGCCCCTGTGCAAAGCCCATACCCACCAGAATCCTGGTCAAGAGACCAAGGAGGAAGATCCTACGGAGGAAAAGGCCGTCTCTCGGGCATTTCCATCATGTTGCCCAGTCACCTTCAGCCCCTTTTCACCACCACCAGTCCGAAAATGCCGCCATGGCCAGCTGAAGGCTCTGATCCTAGCACAGGTTCTCTGGTGGGGGTACCCTTTGCTCCATGCTTCCTGAGAGGTTTGAAATGGGGTTGGAATTCAGACATTTTTACACCCCACTTATGATCTTCCATGGACCAACTATCTTGGGGGGAAGATGCACACTCTACAAGACAAGCCAGCCAGTGACATGGATGGGGGCTTTAGAGGGCCCCATGATATCACTCATGGCAAGTAAGATACATAAAGAGGGGAGCTGAGGGTGGTTGGGGGGAATACGGCAATGTGTGGCCCCCATTAAAGATGGTGTTTGGGGAGGAGCACAATCAGGTAAAGGAGATGGAACAAGAGTACTGAGGCAGGGGAACCTGATTCTTTTTCTGACTAGTTCAGGGCCCAGGGCAACCTGAGCAGGGAGGGTAGAGCTGCTCTTCTCCCCAGGCCTGGAAGGAGGAGGCTGGGATACTGGAGGAGCCAAAGGTGCAGTGTGTAGGGAAGCTAGCTAGTGTCCTTGATACCAGGGGTGATGCTGAATGGGATGCAGGAGCCAACCAGCATGCTGAGGGTGGGCATCCGGCTGGCCGGCAGGCAGTGCCCAGGCCGGCCTCCACGTGCCCTGCCCCACTGTCTGCCCCAGTCAGCCAAAGGCCCACCAAGGTGTCGGAGAGGTGCTGGTAGCTCTGGCGGTACACTGGGGACAGTGGCAGCTTGCCACCATTGGTGGGTGTTGGCCAGGGACAGGCAGCAAGTAGATCCACAAGTAGCACCAAAACAGTATGTTCAAGGCCATAGCCTCCCAGTGTGACCTTCATCTATGTACCATATGCCAATGCGTGAAGAGGCAGGGACACAAAAGGCCACCTGCAGGCCCCTCCCCTTCCCAGTCTGGGTGCTGCCTTAAAGAGCAGGGCAGCCACAGGGCCCATGTAACTGCTCTGCCCTTGGCTTGGAGCTTTACTCCCCAGGTTTGATTTGAAGCTACTCACAAGGAGGGTCTTGTCATACCTTCTCCTTTCCACTCCCCGTCAGCTAGGCTATCTTGCAGCACCCCAGTCCTGTGAAATCACAGCTGCTGTCACAGAGAGCAGTTCCCGATCACCCTGTGTTACTATACTCCCAAGTGCTGTGGAAAGATAAAGCAGGAAGCAGCACGGTTCTGCTTCTGTGCCTGGGTTGTGGGCAAGCAGCAGTGGTAGATGGGCTGGCAATCAGTGCCAGGTGATTCAGCCTGCTGGGCACCAGGAAAAGCCTGGAGACAAACAACTGGACTAATCAGTTGCCCTAGCAACACTTGTCCTTACACAGATAAGATTTATTTTAGCTTGTTGCCCTGGTAACTTGAGTTGCTCCCCAGGGACAGGAAGTGGCAGGCAGAACCTTAGCTCTGCTGGGTGAGAACACTTCTTTCAACCAGAGGGGTCCACCTGTGCAACTCCCTGCCCAGTGAAGGGCAGCCGTAAGATGGTGGGATGGGATTTCTACATCCTAAGTCCCAGCAGCAATATCTTGTTACCTGGGAGAGGACTCTAGAGGGAGGAGGCTGGGGTGCTAAGACCAGGCGGTTCCCATGTGTCCCTTCCCCATTCTGGGTTCCCACTCCTCTGTGGAGAGGGCGATGCAAGGACAGTGCCACATATTTAGCCCTTTCCTTCAGGCCTCCCCCACCATAGCTCCAGTGCAGACAAAAGAGAGCTCTTCACAGAGGTCCTGGGAACCTGCACCTGCTTCCTCACCCACAGGGGCAGCCAGAGGTCACCTGCTGAAGGCTGGATCCAAGCCAGAGCATGGTCGTCTTCAGAGCATGGCAGGGGGTAACATGAGGACTGGGTCAGAACAGAAGCCTGGGTGAGTCTCTCCAGCCCCACGGTGTGTGTGCAGTCCAGGTTTGCAGCTACCAGGCAGGGCCATACAGGGATGCCTTGGGAGTTAGGGCAGGAGGAACACACCCCAATTGTTTCGACATTTTCAATCAGGTGAGGGACTCTTCCATTATTTGCCATTTGCCTGGAGAGAGGAGGCCCAGCTGCCAAGAGAGGCGGCTGCAGTCCTAGTCTTGGCTTGTGCCTGGGAACTCTTGGTTTTTCTGCCCTGGGGTTTGAAGCTGACCCATTGTAACTTCTGACTGGTCGCCCTGCTCTGGCCGGTAAGCTGGCTGGAGTCCTTGTTGGACAGAGAGAGGCAGGGAGGGGGCACTGCAGGGAGGTCCTGGGCCCAGGCGCTGAGCAGTAAGGAGATCCCTGGGAAACAGCACGAGTGTGACTGAAACATGCAGTAAGCGGCACTGCATCTCCTGGTCCTTTAACTCTCACTTCCAAACCTCAGTGTTTTTGGTTAGGAAAGGAGGAGTGAGGAGAGCTGGGGGAAAGTCCCCTTTCCCTACTACACAGCAACAGATATCAGCTCCCCCGGCCCTGCCCTGGCTCTAAGCAGAGAGAATGCCAACGAGACAAGGAGAGGGACAGAGAGATAACCTCTGTTCTTCCTTGCTGTTATGCTGTTCAAGGTCACTGGGTAGAAAGAACCAGAGCATTCTCCATATCCCAAGAATGAACAGCTAAAGAGCCAGGAGTTCCTGGGCAAGATGGAAAAGGAGGAACCTCTTCTCCCAGGAAGGCTGAGTCCTGTGCCTCTCCTCAGCCAGGTAAGGTGTTTAACCCAAGCCATCTGTCTTGTCACCACACAAACAGCCCAGACACCAAGGCTGTTGACACAACATCCTCAGGTGGAGCCAGTCTGGGGAGGGGCTGAGAATGTACCTGGGAGCAATTTACTCCGTCACGTCCACTCCCATTTCCTATCTAGCGCCTCCTCTATTGCCGACCCCCAACCCCCGGTGGGAATTGCCCCTCACTACCGCCACGTATCTCCTGTCTCTGGCAAAAGCAGCCCCTCTCCTGCCCTGCTCCCTCTCATTGCTAACACGTGTAACATGTGACACCTGTTCAGACAGGGACTGGTTCCATGGGCAATGCATCTTGTTCTTGGTCTTGTCCGAGGCCAACAGCAGGCAGCATCGCAGTCAACATTATCGCCAACCCAGGCAGTCATGTTGATTGACATGAGGGCACTCAAGCTGACCCAAAGTAAGACCATAAGAGTCGTTTTCTTTTTCTTTCAAATGCAGTTCTTTTCCAACATTGCCTGTAACAGCTTTGGTGCAAAGATTTGGGGACCATGGAGGTGCACGGAACAAAGAAAGGAAAAATATAGCCAATTGCACAAAGCCTTTCCCAAAAAGCCCAGGCTCTGGGGTGGTGAGGACTTGTGGCTGCCCTCCCTGCCACCCCCTGGAGCTCTGACTTTGACGCTAGAGGCACAGATGAGGATTTATCACATTCCCCATGTAAAAGAGCTGTCTGGGAGAGGGAGAATGGTTGCTTGTGTGTGTGTTTGTGTGTGTGTGTGTGTGTATATATATATATATATCTTTCTCTGTGTGTGTGTGTGTGTGTATATATATATATATATAATAGGCTATATTAGAAAATTCTCTATGTATAAATATAAAACACTGGTATCCAAACAGGATACCACAACTAACTAAAGTGCTTGACAGGAGTTGGGCATGCCTAAGTATTGGGTTGGCCAAAAAGTTCCTTCAGTTTTTCCATAAGATGGCTCTAGTAGTGCTCAGTTGTTTTTAACTTCATTCAAAACAATTTCGTTGGATTGTGTTGTGACAGGTGTCATATCAGTGTGGATTTAAAAAAACTAATTAGCTCTGGCTGGTGTGACGCAGTGGATTGAGCGCCAGCCTGTGAACGAAAGGTCACTGGTTTGATTCCAAGTCAAGGAACATGCCTGGATCGCAGGCCAGATGTCCAGTTAGGGGCATGGGAGAAGCAACTGATCATGTATCTCCCGCGCAGTTTCTCTCCTGTTCTTCCTCTCTTCCCCCCTCTCTAAAAGTAAATAAATAAAATCTGTTAAAAAAAACAAACCTAATCAAAATTGGCAAATTTTTGTGTAGCCATTTTAATATTGAAGATGGAAGAAAATACGCAACATTTTCAGCATACTATGCTTTATTTCAAGAAAGGTAAAAATGCAACTGAAATGCAAAAAAAAAAAATTTTGTGCAGTATATGGAGAAGGTGCTATGACTGATCAAACATGTTAAAAGTGGTTTGCGAAGTTTCGTGCTGCTCTTGCTGGACAAGGCTCCATGGTCGCATAGACCAATAGAAGTTGATAGCAATCAAATTGAGACATGAATTGAGAATAATCAACGTTGTATCACACAGGAGATTGCCAACATTCTCAAAACATCCAAGTCAATAAAGTTATTGGTGAAAATGAAAAATGTATCTTTTATTTTACAGAAAAAACTAAATGGACTTTTTGGCCAACCCAATATGTCGGTAAAACTAGTCATCCTGAGTAACCAGGATGAGGGAGGGAGGGAGCTAGGGATGCAAAAACATGGAGAAAAGGATGTGCTGGCCCAAGCCAGGGCACCAAGGGCATTCTGGTTCCCCAGGGCCTTCTTGGCCTGATTATTATCCCACATCAACACCACACCTCATCCCCACCCCTACCCTGTTCTTCCCTCTGTGCTTCTGTCCACAAAGAAAACAGTACTGGAAAGCTGGGCATGGGGAAGAGTTCTCCCAGGGGAATGCTGTCAGCCTGTGCCCACAGCTTCCTTTGCCCACAGGGTTGGGAATGAAGGGAGCGCTGTGTACGCTGAGGGCAGCACACACAGAGGAGGAGGATCACTGACAACATAATTAATAATTTGAGAAATAAAACACCATTGTTCCTCTAGGCCAGACCCTGCCTTCTCTCCTGGGCCTCCTGCCTGGGTTGGGGTTGGAAGGTAGAAGGGAGGAAGCTGCCCTTTTTATCTGCAAGCTCCAGGCAAAGCATTAGCACCTCCACCATCTTCAAGACCCCTACCCTGCAAAGTAAGGCCCATTTTCATTTCAGACTCACATAAATGCCACAGGCAAGTGGTCACCAGAGTTCCAAGGAGTAGAGGGACCCCAGAGAGCAGGGAAGAGTCCCTCCAGACCACAGTGCTACAAGAATGGGTTGGTAGTTGAAGGTTTGGAGGCAAATGGGCTTGTTGAGGATCCAGTCTGGAAAGAAACAACCACCATCACAAATGGTTAGATTAGAGTAGAAAAACTGGAGATCACAGAAGAAATGCAGTTCATGATTCCTTTCTCTCTCATCATTACTGTGCTGAGGGAAGTGGAAATGTGAAGGAGCTAAGAGGCAAGTGGACGGTATGGGGTGTGTGGAGGATGACAGGGCTGAGAAGAACGGAGGCTCATCAACTACCCCTCTCATCCCTGGCTTGGACAAAACAGAACTTTATGAGAAAAGAGCCTGTGAGTTCCACCCCACATCGCCCTCTTCTCCTGGAAGGATTCTGTCGCTAAGCCCCAGAGTGAGAAGCCATGCCCCACACCATGGTGCACTGGGGACTCACCATGAAGGGGTTGGTGGAAGTGCCTGCTGGCTGGCTCAGTGGCCTCTGTCCCAGCTTGGATGATCCTAAGTCACTGAAGGAAGAGCCTGGGAAGCAAGAAAAAAACTCAGCAGACATGAGCCCTGTCCCTCATGCTGGTGCTGACCAGCTTTGCCTCCCTGCAGGGCAGGCACAGTTACATCCCAGGTAGGCAGTGAGGGGGCCTTCCTAAAGATGGGAATAAAGGTATGGAGCTGTCAGAGGATACAGGCAGGTCTGGTGTTTCCCTGATTCCTGCTGGATGGCCCAAAATGGACCTAGCTCATGTGTCTGGCTTCTTAATATTCCTGTGGGTGCGCGCGCACACACACACACACACACACGGAGTCCCTGGGGGTGGGGGTTAGGGGGTGAGGAAGGAGGGTCAGGTCTGAATCCTTTACCATTCTGCTGCTGAGTCATTGAGGTCTGCAGAGAGAACACTGGTGGTGGGAAGGTGCTGGCAAAGGCCCCGGTGGGTGGCACTGCGTGGGGGAAGCCAGGCCCAGCACTGCTCATTCCAAAGCCAGGGCCTGTGGAGTGTGGGATAGGAAGCTCAGGCAAAGTTCTGGAAAGCAGGCTGGAGAACAGTTCTTCCTAAATTCATCCAAGATGGGAAAATAGGATGGGGTTTTTCCCTAATCACAAGTACCCAGGGGAAGTATCCTGCATGAGCCATGAAACTCTTCAGCTTCCATGCAGCCGACCAAACCTGCCTGCTTCCTGCCCATGTGGCCTGTGGCTTGGAGAACATGAGCACGGCATATAACCGGGGCAGCTTTTGGCTATCTATGAAACTGCATAAACTTAAGCTAATTATTAGCCCTTTCTGTGCTTCAGATTTCTCTAAAATGGAGCAGTAGGGCCACTCTTAGGGCTGCTCTGAAAATTAAATAACAAATGTAAAGCACTTAGTCCTGGGCCTGCCGCTCGCATCACCTCTGGAAGCTATTATTCTTCTCTCTTCACGCCTCAAGATTTTTGAGAACAAAAAAGCAGGGCGGGGCATGAGTCTGAAGAGAGGAAGGCAGAGGCTGAGGGGGGCGCAGGGTAAGAGGAGACCATACAACTCTGGCTGGTGAGGACAGGGAAGAGTCATGATTTCAGGTGGCCCACTTAGGGACACAGAAGGGAGAGAGGCTGGGCTCCCAGAGATACTGAGGGTTGGAGAAAGAAGAATTACTGCTATTATCAGTCAACACTAAAACCCCCTTCAGAACTGATGCAGGCAAACAGCAGCCTGTTTTTTCTAATTCTGAAATTCTGATTCTGTGACTTGAGTGCTTCTACTTTTTGCCCACAAAAATGGGTCTGGTCTGGGCTGGGGAAGGGTGGTGAGGGGCCTTCCTTGGGAGGACCACAGCTGCCAGCTGAGGCTGCCTGCCGCTCCTTCTAATGGTGTGAGAGGAGGGGTGAACAGAGGGAGGTGCAGGTAAATTTGTACTGAGCAGAAAGACAGGGCCAGGGGACAGTCTGGGAGGCTTACCTGTGGCTAAACCATTGGGCTGGAACGGGTTTGTGGAAGGCAGCTGAGGGTGAGCAGCAGGTGCTGTGAAAGGGTTGGTGAAGGCTGCTCAGGACGGAATAAGGTAAAGGTAAGAAAGATGTTTTTTTTCCTTCATTTTTTTAATATTGTTATAACTGACTTTTCCTTAAATCTCTCCACTCCACTCACCCCTGCCCAGAGTCCTCAATACCTTCTAGGACTTGGATTCCTTCCCTAGGTCTCCACAGGCAAAACTTACCTCCAAAGGCAAGCCCTGTGTTGCCACCTCCACCAGCTGTGGCTGACTGAAGCGTGGGGACTTGGCGAGTCATCCCAAAGATGCTGCAATATGGGGAGAGAGGTCAGGATGCACATTTTCCAGGACCGAGGAAAAAAGCTGGGCAAGGGACTGGGAGATGGCAAACCCCATACTGCCAAACAGAAGGAGCTGAGCGGGCTGGGACAACCAAGGCCCGGGTTTCTCGGCCAGCTCTCCTGCCCTGGCGCAGTCCCCCGGTATCTGTGCCTACCTGCTAGGGATACCGCCAGCTGATGCCCCAGGTCCCAGGAGGCCACCCATATCTGTGAGGCTGCTGGGCTGACTGGCAGGTGCGAGAGAAGAGGCACCAAATGGAGTCACCTGGCTGCTCCCTGGGAAGTTAGAGGACATAAAACAGGGAGTGCTGGGCTGAGACCAGATGGAAGGGACAGGAGAAGAGGAGGTGGGGTGCAGTGGACAAGTGGAATGATCACATGAGAGGCACCACCTGGGTTCTCTGAGCTGGCCCATTGTTCCCGCAAATCGCCCAGTTCAGGATGGCTTGTCTCCCACTGAGAACCCAGGCAATGTGATACTCAGCTTTTCTGTCTCCCTAGTGCTCAAAGCTGCCACCACTAGAGAAAAGCAGTTCTTCCTCTTGCCACGTCACCATCTCTGACTTAAACTTCCCATTTTTTCCCCTCAAGAGATGAAAGAGTCTGTCATTTCCTCAAAGAAGCATTTCCATTTACAGATAAATCTTACGAAGGGCAGGAAGAGGTGGGAGAAAGGGGGTGTGAGAAGAGCTCTGAATGGCAGAAAGGTTCAAGGGCTTGGGGGACTCCCATGGAATGTGGAGGTGGCAATGGAGGTGATGGGCATAAATCTCTGTGATTTAAGACATGATCTGCAGGGTGAGAGAAGCAAGACAAAATCTCAAAGGAAACATATGATGGCTGGCTTAGATCATGAACACAAGGGAAGAAGACAGTCCCTGGTCAGCTCCAGCCTTTCTACGTGCTCTGCCTCTGCCCTGAACAAGAGGCCCACCCACAGCCGTGGCTGCTTGCTAACTCCTACTCACCCTTCAGGCTTAACAGAACCATGTCTTCAGATTAGCCTTTCCTGATGCACTAATGTGAATTCGATCATGGTTTTCCTCTCATAGCACCTTGTTCTATTCCTTCATGGCACTTGACATGTTTCTAGTGATATATTTTTATTTATTTCTATATCAACTATGTCCTTGCTAGATCAATTCCATTGCTAGGAATTTTATTACAGGTATAATTTGCAAGTGCAAAACATGATTCACAGGGTTACTGACTGCAGCGCTGTTTAACAGCAAAAGACTGAATCATCTTGAATATTCATCAACAGGGGATCGATTAAATAAATTATAGTATATACATATATACTATATATGTATATGTATATACTGTAAAAAATGAGGAAGCTCTTAGTGTACTGATTAAAAAAAGATATAACAATATTGTAAAGTTTAAAAAATTCAGGTGCAGAACAGTATGTATATTGTGCCATAAAGTCTGTATAAAAAAAAGAGAGAGAAAATGGGACACCAAAGGGCGAGCTGGTGAAGGCCCTAGGCTCCTCTTCCCAGAGGCATGGCTGTGGCGAGGAGCTGCAACAAGAAGCTGGCATGGGTAAGGCTGTGGAAACATTTTGCAGAATGGGAAACTTTAAGCATATTTGTGGGAAAAAGGGAATATGCCAGCAGAGGGGAACTAAGTGGAGGTGTTGTTCAGATAAAGCTGATAGGACAAACCCCTGCAGAAAGTGGGAAAAGGTAAAGGGGGGTCCTTCACAATGGAAGATACTTTTCCTCTTAGAGACAAGAGGGAAAAGAAAGGAAAGGAAAAGATAAAGACAGGAGACAAGGAAGGAAATGGCTAAGCCAGGCTAGTTCTCAAATCCACATTACTCCCTGGCTCCTCCAAACCTCATCCTGTTTTCTTATATGTTTTGGGCTTTTTTTCTGAAGGCCCAGAACTATAATTTGAATCTCTATACTCTTTCTTTTCTGAAGGCTTAGGCTGTATTTCATCAAAACCCTTTTTAAGGGTATCATCACTATACCTAGCCATAACCGACAGTGACCAGGCTCTAACTTGGAGAAACTGGGAATGCAGTAGGGAAGGCAGGTGCCCAGTGCCCGCCTGCTGCAAGGTTCCAAAGATGGACTGCTTCTTGCATGCCAGCACTTTAAAAGATAGTGCTCTCCTGGACTTCCTAGAGGAACTAGTGCTAGGCTATAATGCTACTGTGCATACGTGGTCTCCAATCCTCTCTACTCCACAGGCTGTGAGCAAGGCTGGAGTGGTGGTGGGTCTTCTGATTTTCCAGCCCCAAGCCCTTTCCTTGCCTGACTTGGGATACATAGAATTTGGGAGAGAACACAGCTCCGTGTTCTACTTAGATCAGACTCTTCAGTTCTGCTTTGGGCCTTCGTGGCAGAGAGTGCCCCTCAGTGAGGACAAACAAGGTCCTCTGCCTCCTAGGCTGGGAAGAAGGGGTTGATCTTCCATCTGACAAGCAGCCAGTGCTGTGTCTCCTTGTGGACACTAGAGGGCAGAGTTTGCCCTCACTCAGATGGAATGGACACCCTACAGACAGCACATTTCTCAGAAAGGAGGCTACTGCTAGGAAAACCAGTGCGTAAGTTTGCTTCTAATACACTCTTAGAGCCTCACTCCTAGAGCTGTATTTGTACACATGCCTTACAGCAGTTTCAGGGGGAAACTGCAGTTTTAGCAACCTCCCCTCTCAGAAATAGGAAAATACAACCAGGCTTCAGAAGAAATACCTACCTCACACTAACATGTCCGTACTTCATACCCAATAGTTCTATATATCACACTCACAGAAACCACCTCATGATCATGGTGTGGTGCAAAGTAAATGAAATCTGCCACTTATCAGCCATTCAATTTTGGCCAAGTCACTGATAAAGCTGAGCTGGTTTCCTCTCCTGCAAAATGGGGACTCTTTCTTTCCTCCTGGAGATAATCCGTGGATGCTCCTAACAATGGCAAGACCCTCATAAATGCTGGTTGGCTCTGAATATGGCTGCAGACTCTGCTTTTTGAGTTGGTCAGACACTGGACAACAGTTTCATCCCAGGTTCAGCCAGGAATGGCTCCAGGACTAATGCCTTCTGTCTCTCCTTTAGTCTTTAAAACAATCAATTCTGTTAGGAATGCATTTCGGAACAGACCAATTTAAAACAACCTTGAATAGACTGTTTCCTTTAGAGCTCCCATTCCCAAGGACACTTCCCTCTTGCTAATCTGAGAATCCCGTACCAATTCATATTCTTACCAATAGCTCACAAAAGTACCCATTTCCCCACATATTAACCATCATCAACCTTTAACATTTTTACAAATACAATGTGCAAAATGATTATTTTATCCTAGTTTGCATTTTCCCTGATTAATTAGGTCAAAGATATTTTCTTATTTTTGCTGGGTATTACCTGCTTGTATCCTTTGTCTATAATTCTGTTCTTCCTTATTTATAAGTGTTTTAAAAAGCACACTATGGCTATTTGCTTTTTGTCTCTTTTTCATGTTGTAAGTATATTCTTCCTGTTTCATGCCTTTAAGTGTTGTTTAGGACATATTTAATCATATAGAATGTGACCTGTGCAATTTCTATGTTAGAAGTTACGGAGATTTTGCTTCCCTCTGTATGGTTAAATTGTAAAATGGTTCTATGTTTGAAAATACTATATATTCTGTTTTTTGCTTACAAAAGTTCTTCTGTTTATTAGATCAAACTTGTTAAAGTGTTACTCAAATGGTCGACTTCCTTCCTTACTTGTCTATCTTCTTTATCTATTAATTTTGTGAGTCTGTTATAGTCTCCCTCTCCATTGGTTAATTAGATTTTGATTGTGTCTAATGGTTTTTGCTTTATGAATTTCAAGGCTACCCCAGTCAGTTGAACTTCTTTTGTTAAATTTTATCAAAGTCTCTCTTATTGTCCCATTCAAAAAAATTAAAATAAAATAAAAGCAAAAGCAAGTAGCCAGTTCACAGTGTTGCAATCAGAAGGCGGTGGCCCTGTGTTGATTTCTGCAACTTCGTCTGTTGCACGACTAGGGAAACTGTTGAACTACCTCATCTGTAAAATGGCTGAATTTGAAGGGTTCCTTCCAGATCCCTTCAGGAGCTGAGGACCTGCGGTAGGCTCTTGCCTTGGGTAGGCTCCTACCTTGGAGTAGGCAGAATAACTTACCAAAGCTGTAACTTCCAGTTAGCATCCGACTGGCTGGCAATGAGGGTGTAGAAGGAAAAGGGCAGGTAGGTAGGGAAGGGAGAAAAAGAGCGTAAGTCACTAGGTTTTCCTGGATATCTGCTCCCTACAGCACTCCTGTATCCAAGGATGTCCAAAGGAAGAGGGGCAGTCCAAAGGCACTGAAGACTCAATGACTGGGCACTTAGGGAGGAGCCAAATACTTCAGGGCAACCTTTAGACTCTCTTTCAATTGTATAACATAAACTACACAACACAGAGTTTACAGGCTTCTGCTCTAAGAGGGATGGGTGAGGACTTCTGAAGACTGTCTTGGCCTTTGACCCAGACCTTGACATTTGGGCGTTTTGCAACAAAGACAATGGGACCACTGTGGAGGAAAGGCCATGTCCTTTCTCAGTTTTTCTAGGACTCGGGTCTCCCATACTTCCCAGTCAGAAATCTCCTAGTGCACAACCTACACAGCTCCTGCTGTAATTTTAACCATTTTTCTTCCACCAAAAAATAGTATAAAGGAGGCCCCGCTTCTTCATAAGAGTCTCATCAGACTCCTCTCATCCTTTCCCAGAAAGCTGCTTCTCTTTGTCTCTCTTGCACAATTCTTTAGGTTGGTACAGGTGTGAATGAAGGGTGATGTATGGATGTGGACAACTGGACACAGCTGGAAGGGAAAAAGGAAACGGGTGGGGCAGAGCTTACCTGTGCCTGTTGGCTGGGCCTGGAATGGGGCTTGGCCAGCTAGAGGAATGCTTCCAAATGCAGAAGAGCTGGGGCTACTGCCAAAGGCGTCGAAGTTGGCAAAGCCCCCATGGGAAGGTGTCTGGCCTATAGGGGAAGGGACTATTAAGGTTATATAGATAAAATGTATATTAATCTATATAATATACATTAATTCTAAAGGCCTTCAAGGGCCACTCAATGGGACATCTTCATCTTCTATAGGCTCTTCTTCAGAGGGAGACGGCAGGGGCCTGTGGCAGAGAGCTAGGCACATGCGGGGAAGGGGGTCTCAGAGGCCTCCAAGTTCTCTCCCCGCCACCTTTTTATCCTTACTCCACGGGGCATTAACATTTTTGTTAGGGCCCAGTTTGGGCAGAACCATGTGAAAAAAATTATCTTCTTTTCGGCCAGTGGGGGTGGGGGAAGAGCTTGAAAAAGAAAAAGGGGAACTAGATACCAGTTTACTCAACTCTATAATTGGCTATCGCTGATCTTTGGGAAGAAGGCAGGAGAAATGGAACGAACACATGATAATCCCGCTGCTCCCATTTTAATGGAGAGTGAAAGCAATAAAAAGGCTAATTCCAGTGTTCTAAAAGAAAGTGCTAGAAGGTCCCAACTACCAAACATCATCCCTGCAGTATCCACTCGATCCCAGTGCTCCCAGCCTTGATGCTCCCAGACATCATGTTCATTCATGTGAAGACAGATAGGACCCACGGAAACCTGGTCACCCCCAAAGGAGAGAATTCCTTGTGTTAAGCGTGCCTATGTTGTAGGAAGGTTCTTATCCCAAGTCCTACTTACCTCCAAAGGCTGGGAATGCAGCAAATGATGGTACAGCCTGGGGAGCAGCAAAGGGGTCTCCACCAATGTCAGCCAGCAGGTCAGTACTGGCTTTCTTGACTGAGGAGTGGGGAGGTGGCTGAGCACTCCGGGGCTGGGATGTCCGAGCCTGAGACTGACTGACAGACTTGGAGGAGAAGACATTACATATAGCACTTGGAATCCCAGGCAAACCCGGCCCCTGCAGGGCTCCCCAGGCTGCCCCCAGACAGGCAAGTGGAGAGAGAAGAGAGCAAGAAACTGCCCTCAACTGAGAGGGTTCCTGGGCAGAAGTTGCCTTAGCCTCTCATACCTAATTCCTCTGTCTTCTCAGTATACCAGCTCCCAGAACCACACATTTTAGAGCATATTAGTCAAGGTAACCTTGAGATACACAGGGATGTCGCCCAACAGTCCCCCTGGAGCTGTTACCTCCTCATCTTTCCCAGGTGCTTGAAGCAGAGTCCCGGCCCCTTCTGTTTCCTTGGAGGAATGGTCAGGTTTGGAGTTCATACTCTGACTTCCCTAAATACCACTTCCTGTTGGGTTCTTTCTTCCAAAAGATACGAATCCAAGGTGATAGATGCAAGACATAGGTAACAGCAGGGCTGAGAACCAACTCACAGCTCCTGAACTGCTAAGTCCAGGAGATTTGATTTAGGAAACTGACAGTCCTGTCTCCCAAATCCCAAAATAATCTTGAGAGGCAGATCTGAGAATTACCTGGCCAGAAGTGGAGGCAGCAGCTGAGAGAGATGGCACAGGATCCCCCAGAAGTGTCCGAAGAGGTTTCCCTTCTGGGATGGAGCCCTGGGTAGGGGTGGAGGCGCTGCCTTTGGTATAAGTGGGTCCCTTGACTTGATCCGGAGGAACATACCTTCGAGAAAGAATAGTAAGGTTGAGAGGAGAGGCCTAAAACCTTGGCCCATGCTGAGCTTAGGTGCTTGGGAAAACAGGTTACAGCAGTCAAAATTCTTTCTCATTTTTCCCTACTAATTCTCTCTTTTGAACTAAAGGGAATTTAGCAACATAGCAAAGTTCTGCCTATGTTGAGATCCTGCTTTACTGTCAGGTGCTCATTTTTTCTACAGAAATGTTCAGTTTGCTCTGGCTTGTGGCCGTTATTCCCTCCTCTTTCTGACATGGCAAACCACATGGGTTTCAGGTTATAACACCTGCAATAATGCTGACGAACAGGCAATCTCATTTTCCAACTTCCTGCTCGAGGTGCCCCCTTTTATTTCTTCAGTGTTTCTTCATATTTCTCCTTCTCAGTCCCACAGAAAAACTTTCTGCCACCCCATCTTCTAAGAGCTCACAACCTCTCCTGCCAGCTCCCGCTACTTCTGATAAAACCCCTCTGTCGTGTGTGAGGTCTCTACTCTGGAAAAATCTTTCCCTGGGGACACCCTCAAAATGCTACTTTATCCATATCAATCTCCTTGCTCTGTGTATTCTCTTCTTCACATTATAGTTACCCTCCAACATGCAAATATCCCAGAAATCAAACAATAAGAAGTGACACCTCGGGACAGAAAAGTCAAGGGAGAACAGAGATGTTGTTTTCCTCTTTCAGAAAACAGCATACATATAAATCATGAATGAAACTACAGGCTAAAAGCATAAAAATATATAGGACGTGTGCTTCCAGCCACCTCTCTCTCTACATATGAGATCAGCTGAGGTATAAAAACTACCCCACTCCCATAGGCCTACTTCCCTCCTCCAATCAGTATACTGTCTCCCCCAAAGAAAGGACATCAAAGCTGCATGGTTAGTGACCAAGAACAAGTTGTATTTTCATGTAGCTTTAATATTTTGAAGGCAGAATTTAGCCCTAACTGAACCTGAGTAAAACAGACTCAACCGAAGTCCAGCTTTTGAGAGAAGCCCCAATTCAACCCTGGAAACTGGACTATCAGATGAAGTGTACATTGGACACATGTCTCCACATCAATCTCTTTCTTCCTCCTTACCATCTCTTCTTCTCATATTTTTCCTGGAGAAACTCCTTCACTTTCTGAGGATCCCTGGAATCTGGTATTAAAGATGTCCGAGCATCAAAAAGGCCCAGCCAAATCTTCCTGCAAACCTAAAAGAAAGGATTTAGCTGACAAAGGAGTTGGGGCAGAAAGCATGAAATGGGAATGGTACCACTTCCAGTTTATTCATTAATATTTATTGAGCATGGACACAGTGTGAAGATCTGGATATACGTACAAAATAGACACAATCCTTGTCCTCACAGAGTTATCATCTAATGGGGCAGTCATGCCTTAGATAAACAAGTATCAACTTATAATTATATACTGTGACACATATTATAAAAGAAATTAGAGGGCCATGAGAATTATGGGGAACTAAAATTGGCTAAGAACAGGGTCAGGCACAAGTTTCAGGGCTGTGGCTTCCAGAACGCCCTCCAGAGACCCTTGTTTGCACCCTCCAAGTAAACCAATCACCCGAAGCTAGGCACACTGCTAACATCAAGAATGGCATGGCATCTTCCTACCAGCAGATTTGGTTGAGAAGGGGTTTAATTCACTTTCAAGTAAATGACATGGACTTAAACCTAGGTGGCGGAGGCTCGAGTTAGCTTCAGGAGATCTTAATCAGAGGGGCAGACCCAGTCAACTCTAAATGCTCATCAAGGTGGAGTTCTAATCAATCCTCCCCTTGACTGCCCAGGGACAACCCTCTGCAGAGGTTTTGCTCCTTTCCCTGAATCCCCCAACAAGGGGCCTAGACAAACCACAATTTGTATAACTAAGATTCTGTAAATATAAAATATACATAAGACAAGATATCTTCCATAACAAAAAATAAGAGAAACTTAACAAAAAAGAAACTGTAGGGTTTTCCTATAATCGCGTCAAAGCTCCCCAGCAGATAAGGCAACCACAGTCTGTAACACTTTATCTGGGGTACCTCCCCCACCTCGTTTCCACGAGATTGCAGGAATACTACTTCAGGCTCGGTGAAAGTTGTCATGGAGATGGACTTGACTCGATGAGGGGGGTTCAGTCCTCTCCTGCGGGAGAGAAATAGGAAGAAAGTAAAGGTCAGTTTACTGGCCGCAGGTCAGTTTATGGAAGTAGGGAAGGAAGAAGGGATAAAACAGCATATAAATTAAGCTCAAGTAGAACTCCTTGTCTGAAGCTACTTCCTAATTCAAGGAAAGAAGGAAGCACGAATGTTTTGGAGCCTTCTAATAAGGGACAGGAATGGCAGAGTCGGGAACATATTGTGATCCCAGTCTTCTGGAGAGGAAGGTGGAGACTGCCCCTCCAGAAACTTCGTCTGCCTTGGCTCTGACCCCAACAGTTCAGTCTTCAGCTGAGGGGGTACTTCTGGGAAATCAGATTTCCCATTTGTTGTTTTATCATTGTTTTAGAACTATAGCACATCCTCAAGGTCCCAGAGCCCAGAGACATGAATTCCTCAAGAAGGAGGGAAGACAAAAATGAAGGCCCATCACAATTCTGGATAATACTAACAAAGACCTGGAAACAAAAAACAGTCTCTAGGCTAATTGTCCCTCCTCTTGTCTACACAGAAGGCTAGTGTGGAGGGAGGGATGGAGAGGGTCCCTCTCTTTTAGGAAGAGATCTCTAAGGAAAAATAATATATTTAGGACTTTATCATTTCTGAATGAAGCAGAAGGAAGTCAGGTTCAACAATGAGATAGGAGATTGGCAGGAGTCAGGAACATATATCTGTAGGGATGCTTTTGTGCCAGCTCTGTGTGTTCTTTTAACTCCCTGGGAGTCCAGTTCTGCCCACAGAAGTCCTGTGGCGATTACAGCAGAGAATAAGGCTTTCTTGCCCTCTCCGCCTCCCTACACCTCAACTGCCCTCCAGCGTGTTCTAACAGGGCAAACTTGGGGCTAAGCCAAGCAGGGTTCCCCTTTCCTTATACCTTAAGCTTGACTCTGGTCTATACCTACTGCCCTCGTCAAATTGAAACAAAACTGGCTGAACCAAAACAAATAAGCTAGACCCCGAAACCAGAAATGAAAGACCACAGGTACATTCAGGAAAGAGAGTCTCAAATGATGAGGCCTCCTTCAACTTTAACTCCCTTGGAAAAAAATGGACAAATCAAGATGTGAAAATAAAAGTACTATAACTCTAGAATAGGGTCCTGGTTGACACCCTCAGGAAAGCAAAGGGAGAAGGAAGAGATAACAAAATTTACCAAATGGAAATCCTAGAGAAGGGTGGGGAAAACATACATTCGTGCTTATAGGTGCACACACAGAATAAAGATGCTTCTGCTAAGGGTGGAAGAATGGCAGTGTTCAGGTTAGTGTAAATGAAGGTGGTGAGCGCCGGGGTGGGGGTGGGGGGGCGCGGTGGTGCGGTGCAGGTGACATATGACACAGTACAGAGTGAACAGCAAAGGGTAGGCCCCTTTTGGATGATAAATTACTGATTATGGATTCTAGCAAAGGACAGGACACTGAAGGCTACAATGGAGGCTACAACTGAGGGCACTTTCAGCAATTGTGCTGCTAGACTTTTCAGCTGAGGGTCTGAAAACACCCCTTTATAAAACAAGCAATACCAATGAGGACTGATGCTCCTAGTAAAGGTAAGAGTAGGGAAAACCAAAAGCCAGGTTTTGTTACTGCATGTCAAACAATAGCTCTTAAATTTGATCTGTCCTTAGGACTCTTCTCATCACATTTCAGAGATATTCCAGTTTTCTCTCCTAAAGCCTCTCTTACTAATAGTTTAGTTTTGTTTCATTTTTAGGTCCAGACAGCCTGTTTCTATATGCCTTCCCTTGCCCTTTCTCACCTTAATGACTAGGCCCTTCCCCCCTCAGAATGGCAGAACTTTCTGAGGTCTAACCAGAGCAGACCTCTCTGTCCTTATGGATCATGGTCCTCTTCTTCACCTCCTCCTAACAAATATTTACTTTGCCAAAACACAAGGCATTGTGGTAGGCACTTTAGGGGATACAAAAATTAGAAAACCCTGTCCTCAATCACCAGACCGCTGGCTTATAAGAAGGACCCAGGGAGCCTAGACAAGAGCACCTCTCAATGCAGCAGGGTGCAAGTTAGGTGCATAGCTGGACCAGGAAGAATTAGCACCAGGGTGCAGCGGAGGGGAAAGGAAGAGAAATGGTCAGGGGAAAAGTAAAAATGTATTATGTTTACACTAGAAAAACAGATTCCAAGCCTATCACGCAAAGATCATTGACTTTTCCAGAAAAGAGAACCAGGAACTGTTAGCAAAGTATAAACAGGGAGGTGTGCTTCCTTGTAGAGGGAGGGGAAGAGGCTTGACCCATGCCTCAATCTAGAGGGGATACTTAGGACAACAGAACTTCCTAAGGCTAAATTTGAAATGTAGGGTTTTATGAGGGGGAGGTGAGATGAGACAGGATAAAGGGAAGGCAGAGAAACTAAGTGATTTAGGTGCTTTGGGCCAAATAAATCTGATGGAACAGGATGTTTCCATAGCACAGTACAAAAACCGTTGCTTTGACCTTGATGTCTGCAGGCTGGGTTATGTACTATAACCAGAGCCACAGTTCAGGGGCACGGAGATTTCTATACAAGACAATACAACACTCTGTAGCCCAGAAGAGGGACTAGTTACATGGCTTATGAGTCAGAGAATTTGTTTCTCAATCATAGAGAGGCCACTGCTGGCTGAGAGAAGCAATTGAGAAACAAGGGCCCCTCCCGTCCAAGCAGATGACATCAAGTCGTCTAGGATTGTTGCTTTCCCTTGGGTACATACCAGGGTCATACAATGGGCCAAATGTGAGTCACTGGCCTGGAATTAAACTGATCCCACTGTCCAAATTGTATGTAGTCTCCTCAAATTAACTCTCAGGTTCTCCCCAAAAGAAGTGAGAACTGAAGGAGGCACTGCCCTTTAGTTATTATAGCAAATCCATTCTATTATTTCTAACCATGAGATGCTGGGAGAAATATAGAGATACATTTATGTGCCCAGAATGGTGCAAATTTTTTCCAATTAAAAGCAAGTACATTATTAGGTCACAAGCCTTCAGCCCAGTCATAAAGTCTTTTTCTACTTCAGTTTCCTTTTCACAAAAATGCACATTTGAAGTACTCTTAATTTCTTGGCAAGTGAAGCAACTTGCAGAGATCCTAAAGTCTGCCCAATTCTCTCTTAGTCTTTCTCCCCCTCCCTCCATTAGGCAACCTATTATTTCTACAAATACCACACCTTTTGGTTTTCTGTGGCCATCACCCTCAAAGTGGCCCATATTTTGCTTCTAGCTTCCTAAAAGCCTCAAACCTGCTCAGCTGCTCAGATAAGAAGGTTCTGCCAGGTCAACAATGGAAAAAAACAGTTCCACCCAGCACCCATGTTCTTTCATTTGTGCCAAATCTGAACTTGGGAATTCCTTACCTCTGAGTATTTGTGTTCAAATTCATACACCACAGACTGCATTTCTTTCCACTCCTCTGCCTAAGCAGGGTTTAGCTAACAGTGTAGTCCTTATCTTGAACCCAAACATCACTAAGAAGAGTCCCTACTATAGACTCATAATAGGAAGGCTCCCCAATTACCCTGCTCCAGGGTCAATTTCACGAATTTTAGGAAACTTCTTCTAATCTAAATTTCCCCTGCTTCAAGCCATTTCCTGTTGTTCCTCAGTGACAATGATAAACAGCTGTCCTCTTATGTAGAGCCATGTAGAACCCTTATATCAGCTGCCCTCCTCTTTAGGCTCAGTGCCAATCCTGTTACATTTTTTCCCCCTTTCTTCTCATTCCTTTGGTAATTCATTATTTTCTTAGGGGCTTTTCAAGTTATTCAAGGGCCTGTATGACAAAGTGCTAAAGTCTGTAATTCAGTGACTCTGTGTCTATCTCTGCCCAGCAGAGGTGAATATGAAAGGTGAGGTAAGAGGGGATGGAGGGATGGGACTGAAGAAAGGGCGAGGTACCTGTCTATTTCTCCAACCCAGACAGATGGAAAAATACTGAATTATTGATTAACATGCACCTTTCCCTTTGTGGAGATAAAAAGTGCTTCAAGTAGGAGCCACTGCTAGCAAGACAGACAGGGAAACTCAGGGACAAGGAGGGTAGGAACTTGTCACAAATAAAGAGCTATTAAGCACATCCCCTGACACCCAGCCCAGAGCTCTGTCCCTCTTAACCCTGACTTAATCTCCTCATCAGGGTAAAGTTGTGCAGAAGAATCAAGTGTCCACTACTGAGACTTGAAGGGTAATGCATTAAAGGATGGACTCAAACAGCCAGGTCAGGGAAACATGTCACACACTTTGCTGAAAACATTGGTTATCAAAGGTAGTGCCCATCCCTGATGTCAATGAGATCTCAGGCCTCAACATGTTTCCTCTGTACGGAAAAATGGTTTATTCACTGAGGCATGCAAGCAAACTAAAACAAGAGAGAACATTTAAGTCTCCGCTTTGGAAATCCTTTTTAGCAGCAATTTTTACCCCAATCTAGCTTCATATGGCAGATTCATCCTCCAGTACAAGAGTCAGTAATATAAACAAACAAGTACATGTACATGTACAGGGTGGATGAAAGTAGGTTTACAGTTGTGAGTATGCAAAACACACAGTTTATTATTATATTATTATGTATTATTTTCCATAAGGATGTGGGCAAGAAAGGGCCTTTATCTGGTTAAGGAAATTAGGTATTGGAAGAAAACAAAGTGAATAAAAACTAGGTCAAATTTGGGACCTACAATAGTGGTAGCATGTATGTAAATTTAGAAACAGCAGAAACTAACAGCTTCTCTCTCTCAGGCCTCACACCAACACTGTGGGGTTTTGCTACAGCTGAGAAAGTACTTCTCATTAAAAAAAGAAATAGCAAGAATGAGCTCACATGTGCAGAGACGAAGGCATAGTCATCACCCAACCACCAATATTAAAATCTGAATTTTTCTTCAGCTTGTAGGAAATTCAATTTTGGCTAGAACAGTGAACTTTGCTACATCAGCCAATCCAGCCAGCTGGGAACTGGTTATTCTCACCGCCGCCAGAACACTCCATCCCTTTGGTAGGTAGATAGAGGTAGATAATACGCTCAACAGAAAACTGGCTTTCAAAACACAAAACCAATTCTGCTGTCTCCTTTCTCTGGCTATGGTGCTAAGCATGAAGGGGGTACTTCGACCCCCCCGTGCCCCAATATCCTCTGCATTTTAACTAAGACTATTTCTTCTCTTTTTATCATCATACCCCAATATGAGTTCCCACCACTCTCTGGCCCAGGCTGAGCTTTATTTTACTTCGTAGCATTTACACTACCTGCAATTACATATTTAATAATTTATTAAAAGTCCATGACCTCTACTAGGATGTAAGCTACATGAATATGGGTACTTGGTCATTTTTGCTTATCACAAACAGCGTCTGGGGCTTGATAGACCCTCAATAAATATTTGTTGACTGACTGAATAAATAAATATGCAGGCTGTTGGCCTACCAATTTTCACTCCCTAGTACCACAAAATCCTAATCTATGGGCAATCAACCATGTGAATTTCTGATGTTAACTGGTATATGTGTCCCTGTGGAGACATGCCTCCCCATCGCCTGCTGGACTGTGTATGCTTCCTGCTTACTCTGCAGCCTACAATAAGTATGCCCCACCTCATACATTCTGTCTCCGGCCCACTTGCCAGCTCCCAGCCCTGTCCACATCAGAAGGCACAGGTAGTTTGTTAAGACCCCTTTAAAAGCTTTATGTGCCTTTCCCTAGTCCATGCTAATTAGAACCCCAATTAGCAAATGCAAAGTACCATCAAATCCGGGTGGACACCATCAGGAAAACTAAAGCTTTTTAAATAGAATTTCATCTGATATTTCTCTCCTTATATCTCAACATGCCTTCAGTTCAGCTTCACTTATTGGCCTCGCTGCTTCTTGATTATTCACTCTACTCTGACTTCCTGCTAACAAAGGGTTGGCCTAGCTTCTCATTTCCCAACCACCCAAATGTGTTTTTTAAAGTCTACCACTTCAGGAATCAGAGTGATTCTCATAGTGCTTTACCAAAATACTAAGCAAAAATGTCCTTTCTAGAATTTTTTGAAACTACAAAAAAAAAAAAAAAAAAAAAAAAAGGCCAGTAGATTCCTATCACTTGTTCCCACTGGAACTTAAGTTCCTAAAGAAGCTAAGCCCTAGTTTGAGGTACACACACCTTAGAGAGAGGCAGGCCCCTTGGGGTACTTCTCTATGAAATTAATCAATCTGTAGTTCATAATCACTTCCACCCAGTATCTCTCCAGATCACAGGCATTTGACTTTTCATTAATGGGATCAACAATAATGACCACAGGGGAAAGTGGTAAAGTTTTGCCAATTGTACACTGACATATAAGGAGTTAAATTTTCCAGCAAAAGAAACCAGGTTTTTAATGTGTCCCAGATCTCTTGCTCCTCCTTTTGTCCTGATTGAAGGATATTCATTATAGAAGGGAAATGTTATCTGTGAGATATATTAAACTGAGATCTATAAAATAATGATAATGATGTCAGCACTTTCAGCGTTTTATCTTTCATTCCCAGCTTGTCATGGGAATGAATTAACACTGTTTCCTACCATTTTATTCCTAGGACCTAGACTCTGATGTATTATCAGTTATAACCCCCTGCTTCCCTTTACTTTTTTCCAGGCTCTATAATCACATTATCCTTTTCATAACAAGATCTTCAGGAATCTGCTTTCTCTTTCTGCTTTATGCCATAAATATTTCTAAACTTTGCTTCTTTTCTCCTTAGAGTACTTGTCCCAGTCTCAAGTTTCTATCCTTTTGCTTCATTTACATCTGTGATCACAATTTTTTGACCCATTTCTGTTTGAGTTCTAAATCACTGTCCCAAGAGTTACAGTGGCTTTTACTTAGACCAAAGACAAATCCATTCTCACAACACACAAGTGAGGTGGATCGAAGACAGAAGTTTAGCAAAGGAGGTAAAAACTGAATAGAGAAATAATCCTAAATTGTATCTTAGAAGACCTGGATCCTCATTTCTGATCTGCCATGATCATACTAATATCAAACAACAACTGCTGAAAACAGCAAGCCCCATATGGCATTGGATAAGTTATTAAACCTCTCTTTGCTTCTGTTCTCCCATCTGTCAAGTGAGAACAATACTGTTCCCTTCTTGGCTCTTAAAGGTGTAACAAGAAACAGGAAAGTGCTACTCATTAAAAACGAAACCAACAACCAAACAAACCAATGTATTAAAACAATACTAAAAAATGGCCAAAATAAACTCCTTGATAAACTTACAGAACACAGAGATACAGGCTTGGTATCAAATGTTAATTATGCATCTAACCAAACAATTCCCTAAGAGGGAAAAAGAAACTTACTGTATAACCAGAAATCTGGGCTAGAACTGTGGTTCTAAATTAGCTCAGACATGACCAAATACAGTGCCAGTGCCAAGTGTAGTGAATCAGATTATACAATCTCCCTCTCCCTCAACCTAGAAAGAGTTGCAGCATGTCACTACTAGGGTTAAACCATGACAACAAGGAATTTAAATATATAAATTATTACACTTAAGAATGGCTTATTCAGACCTCCAAACCTTTGGAAAAGTTAGGCTAACAGGGCAACCATCGGGTGTCACCATCTCTTAGATTTGTAAGATATCTACTTTTAGATAGCATTTCAAAGCCCTGCAAGATTAGGATCTGCACCTGAGCACTGGAGCAAGGCTCCTTACCTGCCACTATCTCTGTGCTATGCACCTGGGTTAATTTACCTGTTTTAACTTCGTTTCTCCATCTCACACTCCAAGATGGGCACAAGCCAGAAGGAAGAAAGGCACTGCTTCATCTTGAGCCCAGTTTAACCTACCTCTTTCCTTTTTGTCCTCTACATCAAGTTCCTTTTCAAGGTTTATGTCATTCTCTGGCCTTTTAAATCTGCAACCCCTTGTTTCCCCTCTGTCCTGTTCCCTTCAATTATCCCCACTTTCGGTTCTCCTTCCCTTAAGGAGTTTCTCTATTTCTCTCCGGTGTCCTTCCTTTCCTCTGCAACGCGACTCCAATCGTGTCTTGCTTCCCCTGCCCCTTTCTCCTCCCCGTAACACCTCTGCAGCAGAGGACTCTCTCACCACATCCGGCACGTCCCCAGGCCTCCCTTACGTCCCCCACCTCGGCTCTGTCCCTTCACCGTGGGTCTCCACTGTCCCCTACGCCGACTCTCCGCCACTCCTTCCCGTTTCACCCCCCAGGGCCAGTGCACTCACAGGAGACCAGAGCAGGTGGTGCAAACGAAGCTGCCCACAGTGATATCCACGTAGGTGACCCCGCGCTGGGCACACTCGAAGCAGTGACGGTTCCCGGCCTGGCTGCAGCCGCCCAGCTCCCGCACCCGGCGACACCACACCTCCGAAGCTGCCTCCGCCTCCGCCTTTCCTCCGCCGACCCCACCGCCAGGTCCTGGCCCCTTCTTCGCTGCCATCACCATGGCTTCCCACTCTCTCGGACTTCCTCCCTGCAAATGAGCAACCGCCCCTTCAACCACAGCCGCCTTCCCGCCTCCTCGGTCGCCTCCGCACGCTCCGCTCTCCTGACAGAAGATCCGGAGAACGCGGCCTCCGCGCAAGACTCTTCAACACCCAGCCTCGCCTATCCTGCACAGTGATTGGTTGGTCTCCTTCCACCTTCTTTCTCTGATTGGCCCGACATTATACGGCCTCGTGTTGCGGTAGCCGCCAACGCCCCGCCCCGCCCCGCTGCCTCCAGACCTCAGGCCTCTCCCATTGGCCTGTAGAGATATTGGCCGCGAAGACTGTGCAAGCCCTCTCCTTGTCCCCGCCCCCTCTCGCCACTGCCTCCACGGAGGCCCGCCTCCCAGACTCGATTGGTGAGTCCTCGAAACTCGGCCTCTAACGCTAACTCTGATTGGCTGTCGACGCTGCAAAGTTAGTGCACGAGCAAGAATAGCTCTGGTCCTCCTGACTGATGACATTAATTCCCGCCAAATTTGAAAAGTCTCGCCTTAGCTAGACTGTGCAGAGAGGCACACAAAGCAAAAGAGAAGTGGTCATAAGAGGGGTCGAGGGGAGAGGAAAAGAAGGAGCTCTCAGGGGAAGTGATGGAGAAAGAGAGGGAGTGCTTTCTAAATGCTATTTTATTTATTCCTACCCTATGCTATAGGAAATCTCATTTTACAGAGAGTCTTATGTTATACAATTTGCAGTAATTCAAACAACTGGTATGTGGCTCAGCAAGGATTCTAGTCTGGGTCATCTTTAGAAACCCTGATTTTAATCACCACACTATCCATGGAATAGTATTTGACAAATATTTATTGACAGTCTCCTAGGTTTCAGGCACTGTTCTAGACAACCAATCAAAATTCCTATCTTCATGGAGCTTACATTCTAGTAGGGGAAGGCACACAATAAGCAAGTTAACGAATCATCGGTTAGTGACAAGTTCTAGGTAGAGAATCAAAATAATATATTATAAAATAGAGCGACTTTTGGGTGTTTTATACTGTTCAGGGGAACTATGTCAAAAGCAGTGATATTTAAGCTGAGACCTGGTTAACAAAAAGGAGTCTGCCATGAGGAGTTCTGAGGAGGAGCAAGCCAGGCAGAAAGAAGTACAAAGGTCCTAAAACAGGAAAAGCTTTGTCTTGATAGCAGCAAAAGAGAAAGCCTGAGTCACTGAAACATGGTGAATGAGAGGAAAGTGGAGGGATTATACTGGAGTGGGACCAGGTTGTGCAGTACCTTTCAGACTTTGGCAAGGAGTTTGGATTTTATTCTAAGTATAATGGGAAGTGGTATTAGTTAGAATTAAGACCCACCATGACAGAAAACTCAAAATAATTGGGATTTAAGCCAGATGAAGTTTATTTCTCTCATGTGAAAATCTATGTAGGCATTCCACGGCCAGTGGGTTGATCTACTGTGTCAGGCTCCTTCTATCTTGTTGCTCCATAATTCATTAACTCCACTCCTAGGTTTACCCCATGATCTCTCCTACTTTCTGCCATCATGTGTGTTATAGCAGCAGGAAGATCCTGCTCTTTTTAAAGAGACGCCATGAAACATCACATAACCACATTGGTCAGAACTCAGACACATGACCACACCTAAGTACAAGGAGAGAACCTGAAAAATGTATTCTTTATTTTGGGCCTCCATATGCTCACCTAAACTTCAGAGGTTCTACTACTGATGTTGAAGGAAAGAAAGAGTATTAGGATAAAACCACATTCTCAGCCACAGAAGCCATTGAAAGGATTGTAGCAGGGGGCAAGGCATGATCTGATTTTCAGTTTCAGAAAAAAAAATTATTGTTTAATACAGGGAAAATGGTTATAGGTGGGTAAGATTGGAACTAGGATGATTAGGAAGTGAGTTCTGTAGTCCAAATGAAAGGTGATGATGGCGTAGACCAAGGTGGTAGGGGTTGGTTGGAGAGAAATGGATTGATTTAGGGAATGCTTTGGAAGTAAAATCCATAGGACTTGTTAATGAACTACATGTGGGAGGTGAGAGAAAGAGGAATCCATGACAAATTCTCTAGAACAGCACCATCCAATAGAACACTCTGTGATCAAGAAAATGTTCTGTATCTGTATAATATGGTGGCTACTAGCTAGACATATGTAGCTATCAAGCACTTGAAATGAGGCTAGTAAAACTGACACCCTGAAAATTTTTTTAATTTAATGTCAATTAAGTAAAATTTAAGTTTAAATAGCTGCATGTGGTTAGTGGCTACCATATTGGACAGGGAAGAGCTAGATCTTTGTTTTGAGCAACTGGGTGGTTTATGGTGCCATTTATTAGAAAAGGTGGTACTGTAGGAGGAACAGGTTAGGGGATGTTGACAGCCAGAAATTTAAAGTTTTGCTTTGGACATGTTGGTTTGAGACCCTCAGGAGTAATCAAGGAGCTGATCAAATAGGCAGGTAAATATATAGTCTGGATTTGCAGAAGGTTTAGGAGTCATTAGTATAGAGGAGTTACTTAAAGCCATGGGACTTGATGAGGTTGCTTGTAGAGAAGAGGGCCCATAACTAACTAAGCTCTGGGCACCCCAATGTGTACTTTGTTCCACTTATCCAGTTATCAAAGCCACAAATGCACTGTAAGTCCCTAAAAGGAGGCAACACCAAGTCATATTCAGATATGCAAATGTGACACCTCAGACTACCTTAAACATTCCTTCTAAATTTCAGAGTTCACCATTACCAAATACTGCCCTTTTCTCCTATGGTTTCTCATTAGCCAACGGTTATTTTTAACCATCCTAAAATTTGAACAAATTGGTAGACTTAGCTACCTTGCACATAAGATAGAGGGAAAATTAGAATGCTAATATGGATTGTGATAGCTTTCTGTTAATTTGTACCACTGGGTGTGGTGGTGCAAGGAGGCACCCACCTCTGTTTCTCCCAGGCCCTATCGGGGAGTAAAAACCCTTCATAGTCAGGGGAGCACTAGCACAGGAACACCCTTTTCTGCCATTGCCCTAGTGGCAGGAGGAATTCCAAATGGACAAGTGGAACACTTAGTGGGTTCCCTGCTGAAAACAATCCACCCTTGAGGGATAGAAAGCAAACGTTCTTAAAGAGAAAAGTAATAGTGAGAGTTGCCGCCCTCCACCCCCCACCCAACTCTTGTTTTCTGGAACTCTATATTGGCTGAGAGAGAATTGACACTGCATTTCAGTCACCATTTGAGATCACGTATCACTTTCTGCAAGAAAGCATCCTAGCCTCATGGGTACATTCTCCTGGATCTGTTTTCAGAACAACATTTCATTGTTCTATAAGGCCAGCTGCTTCTGGTGGATAGGAAATATGATAATGGCCCAGGGACTGCCAACTGTCTTATTTCTTTCACTGGGAAGTAAGTTTCTTGGTTGGGAACAATTTTGTCTGGACCACCCTGCATTATGCAAAGCCAGTACTTCCAGGGATGGTAAAATAGTCAGAATCATGACCTGCTGGGAAACAAAACCCAAATACAGAATAAACATTTTTTCTAGAGCATAAAAATCACCACACCCTCTATGAGAGAAGGAACCTGATAGAGTTGAACCTGCCATTAGATTCCTGACAGGTTCCCAAGAAGCTGGGTGCTCGATTACAGCCTCAGGACTGTGCGAGTCTCCTACTGAATTTACTTACTGTTTATAAAACTTTTTTTTTTGGCTGATTTTCTTCATTTTTCTGGATAGAGATCACATTATCTTCAAATAATCACAGTTTTAGCTTCCCTTGATTTTTTTCTATCTCTAATTACTTTCTCTTGTCTACGTTGCACAATATTTAGAAGTAGTTAATTAATAGTGGATATCTTTTCTTATTCTATAAGGAAAGACCTAACAGAAGAAACTACATGAAAGTTACAGTTTCCCTGACTGTGACTGCCCACCTGGTTCTAGTGGTTACTTCTCATTTGCTAATTAGAGTTCTAATTAACATGTACTACAGCAAGGTATATAAAGCTTTTAAAGGGGTATTAACAAAAGTATTACCTGTGTCCTCTGATGTACTGCGAGAAGGCCTGGGAGCTGGCAGGTGGGCCACAGGTAGAATGTATGAGATGGGACATACTTATTGTAGGCTGCAGAGTGAGGAGGAAACACATACAGTCTAGCAGGCAATGGAGAAGCATGGTTCCACAGTGACACATATACCACCTAACATCTTAAAATCTTAATATCCCTTCCTTTAATGAAAGTATATCTTTATTTCCCCGTTAATCTCGATGTTCACTATTGGGTTAACAAATATATTTCATTTTATTAAAGAAGCATTCATTTTATTTATTTGTTCTACTGGGTTTTTTTTTAGTTTGTTTCCTAACTTAATTTCTGATTGCATCCATTTATTTCTTCTGCTTCTAGAAGGTTGATTTTGTTATTCTTTTTCTAATTTCTTGAGTTAGATGCTAACTTATTTTAATTTTTTATTAAGGCCCAAAACATTTTATTTTAGTTTTTTTGTAAGATCTTTTTTAAAAAAATTTTTATTGTATTTTTTCCATTACCATTTAGTCTCCTTACACCCAGCCCCCACAATCACCACACTGTTGTCCATGCCCATGAGTCCTTTTTTCCTTTTTGCTCAATCCCTCCACCCTCTCCCCTCCATTCTACCTTAGCTATCATCCTGCTCTCTATGAGTCTGTCTTTATTTTGCTTGTTAGTTCTGTTTTTTCATTAGATTCTACATATGAGAGAAATATGTAGAATCTTTCTCTGACTGACTTATTTCATTTAGCATAATGTCCTATCGTTCTATCCATACTGTCGCAAAGGTTAACATTTTCTTCTCTTTTACAGCCAAGTACCATTCCATTGTGTAAATGTCCCATAGTTGTTTTATCCACTCATCTACTGATGGACACTTGGGCTGCTTTCATATCTTGGCAATTGTAAATAATGCTGCAATGAACATAGGGGTGCTTATGTTCTTTCAAATTAGTGTTTTGGATTCCTTTGGATATATTCCCAGAAGTGGGACTGCTGGTTCAAAAGGCAGATCCATTTTTAATTTTTTGATGTATCTCCAGGCTGTCTCGCTCCAGAGTGGCTGCACTAGTCTGCATTCCCACCAACAGTGCAAAAGGGTTCTCCTTTCTCCATATCCTT